TCACTCTTGTTACCCAGGCTGGAGTGCAATAGCGCCATCTTGGCTCACCGCAACCTCCGCCTCCCGGGTTCAGGCAATTCTCCTGCCTCAGCCTCCTGAGTAGCTGGGATCACAGGCACGTGCCACCATGCCCAGCTAATTTTTTGTATTTTTAGTAGAGACGGGGTTTCACTTTGTTGACCAGGATGGTCTCAATCTCTTGACCTCGTGATCCACCCACCTTGGCCTCCCAAAGTGCTGGGATTACAGGCTTGAGCCACTGTGCCCGGCCAGTCACCCTTTTAATTAAGCTTTTTTTGTAGTAGCAAAAATCAGGGGAAAGATAAGTACACCATTACGTTTGTTTAGCGCCATGCATAAGCCCCCAACATGGGCAAGGAGGAGATCGAAAGCTGCATCATGGTCTGTTAAGTGCTTTTGTTGAGTACGTCAGTTACCATCCACCTTTTGGAGGATGGCTTCTACCTGTCTGAAAACTTGGAGGTCTGTTTGACCAGAAAATCTACGATTTTCCCCAAATTACTGATTAAGTTTATTTTTCATTTTTGGAGACAGAGTCTCTCCCTGTCACCCAACCTGGAATGCGGTGGTATGATCTCTGCTCACTGCAACCTCTGCCTCCCAGGTTCAAGCCATTCTCCTGTCTTAGCCTCCCGAGTTGCTGGGATTATAGGCACGTGCCACTTCGCCTGTTTACTTTTTGTATTTTTAGTAGAGTAAAGGTTTCACCGTGTTGGCCAGACTGGTCTTGACCTCCTGACCTTAGGTAATCACCCTGCCTCAGCCTCTCAAAGTGCTGGGATTACAGGCATGAGCCACTGCACCCAGCCTGATTTAGTTTGAAATTCCATATAACTGGCACCCCACTAAGCATGAACCCTTAGGAACCCCATTTCTCCTCAGTGGAACATAGTTCAGCTTTATCTGTTTCAAGGTTGGTGCTAATTTCCGGTTGTTGGCCATTTTGTCACAGACCAGTCAGTTAAATTTGTCTACCCATAACTGAATATAACTCCAGCCACTTCAGACCCTGATCCTGATTTGAGAGTCAGGGTCTGAAGTGGCTGGAGTTATGCTGCAGCCCCTTATGTTGCTATAATCACTTCACATAGCTCCTGAAAAGGTCCACTAGGAAACTTAAGAGTTTTCTGGGGCTGGGCGTGGTGGCTCACGCCTGTAATCCCAGCACTTTGGGAGGCCGAGGCGGATGGATCATGAGGTCAAGAGATCGAGACCATCCTGGTCAACATGGTGAAACCCTGTCTCTACTAAAAATGCAAAAAATTAGCTGGGCATGGTGGTGTGTGCCTGTAATCCCAGCTACTCGGGAGGCTGAGGCAGGAGAATTGCCTGAACCCAGGAGGCGGAGGTTGCGGTGAGCCGAGATTGCGCCATTGCACTCCAGCCTGGACAACAAGAGCGAAACTCCGTCTCAAAAAAAAAAAAGTTTTCTGTATAGCAGTTAGGTCAATTCGAAAGGTCAGTGTATTGCTTTCAGCAAGTGTAGAAAAGTAAGTGGCAATGATGTTTAGAACATCAAGGGTAACTTTCCACTCTGGGGTTTCAGGATAACTCTCACTGGAAATACGACATTAGTGGAATTGTTTTCTGACTTTTAGGCATCGGCCCACAAATCACAAATCCAAGAATTGCTTTTTTCTTTTTCTTTTTTTTTTTTTTTGCTAGAGCATAAGCCTTAGCTAAAGCCATCCACAGATTATGGTCCCGAGGATTTTTCTAAGGAAAGGGAAAGAATTAGGATAGCTACTGGCTGTAATTGCAGGCTATATAATAAGTGATGGGTTTACATTTTCCTCCATGTTCTGGGTAAGAACTCTTCATGCCTGATTGTTACATTCATGAACAAACAAGATAAAAGGTTTAGTATAATTTGGATGTCCTAAAGTTGGGGCTGTTGTAGGGCCAATTTCATGTTGTTCAAAGGTTGCTCGTGACTCTCTTCCCATAGTAAAGACTTGGGTACAGAGCTCCTGGTGAGCTCCTTCAGTGGTGAGGCCAGTAAGGAGATAGTTGGGACCCAGGATCTGCTCTATCCTGTAAATCCAAAAAAAAAAATCTCAGTCGGGCGCGGTGGCTCAAGCCTGTAATCCCAGCCTTTGGGAGGCTGAGGCGGGTGGATCATGAGGTCAAGAGATCAAGACCATCCTGGTCAACATGGTGAAACCCCGTCTCTACTAAAAATGCAAAAGAAAAATTAGCTGGGCATGGTGGCGCGTGCCTGTAGTCCCAGCTACTCAGGAGGCTGAGGCAGGAGAATTGCCTGAACCCAGGAGGCGGAGGTTGTGGTGAGCCGAGATCGCCATTGCACTCCAGCCTGGGTAATGAGCAAAACTCCGTCTTAAAAAAAAAAAAAAAAAAAAACTCAATTGTCTGGTTGTAGGCTGAAAAAAACTTGGAATAGTTTTTGTTTCAGGTGAGAAGAAAATTCCTTGAGCAGTCAAATCATGTCTAAATTGTGGGCTTTTTCTCTTGAAAACTTTTCCTCTCAAAACCTTGTGACTTTTTTTTTTTTTTTTTTTTTTTAAGATGGAGTCTTGCTCTGTTGCCTAGGCTGGAGTGCAGTGGTGTGATCTCCGCTCACTGCAATCTCCACCTCATGGGTTCAAGTGATTCTCCTGCCTCAGCTTCCCAAGTGGCTGTGATTACAGGCACATGCCACCATGCCCAGCCAATTTTTATATTTTTAGTAAAGACAGAGTTTCACTATGTTGGCCAGGATGGTCTCAGTCTTTGGTTTTGGTATCAAGGTAATAGTGGCCTTGTGGATTGAGTTTGGAAATATTCCCGACTTCTCTATTTTTTTGGAATAGTTTGAGTAAGATTGGTATTAGTTCCTTAAATGATAGAATTCAGCACTGACGCCATTGGGTTCTGAGTTTTTCTGTACTGGAAGACTTTTTATTATGGCTTCAATATTGTTACTTGTTATTGGTCCGTCCAGGTTTTGGATTTCTTCCTGATTCAATCTTAGTAGGTTGTATGTATCTAGGAATTTTTTTTTTTTTCCTCAGGCTAGCTGTGCTTTATTGACAGCGCACCACTCAGGCCTTGAGCGCGTACTACCGCGGGTACAGCCGCTCCTTCCGCTGCTGCTTCTTGGCCTTGAGGTTCTCTTCGTGCTTGTTGAGCCCGTGGCACATGGCGCGCGTCTTCTTCGGCCGCAGGTCCAGGGGCTTGTACCTCTTGCCCTTGTAGAATTTCCTGAGGTTTTCTTTCTGAGTCTGATTAATAACTGTGAGAACACGGGCAACAGATTTGCGGACTTGGATTTTAGAGAGCTTGGAGGCCGCGCCGCCTGTCACTTTGGCGACTCGCAGCTGGGACAGCTCCACCTTCAGGTCGTCCAGCTGCTTCAGCAGCTCCTCCTCCTTCCCGCGAAGGTCTTGAGCCTTTATCTTGGCCATCGCTGCACAGGTCGCCGCTACCGCTGCCGGCCGCTCCGAAAGAAAGCGCGTATCTAGGAATTTTTGCATTTTTTCCAGATTTTCCAATTTATCGGCATAGTTACTCAAAGTAAGCCACTTTGAATTTTTGCATTATAATTTGTCGTCTTTTTCATTTCTGATTTTATTTATCTGGATCCTTTCTCTTTTTTTTAATTTAGTCTGGCTAAATATTTGTTAGTTTTGTTTAACTTAAAAAATTGGGCTGGCCGGGCGCGATGGCTAACGCCTGTAATCCCAGCACTTTGGGAGGCCGAGGCGGGTGGATCACAAGGTCAAGAGATCGAGACCATCCTGGTCAACATGGTGAAACCCCGTCTCTACTAAAAATACAAAACATTAGCTGGGCATGGTGGCGCGTGCCTGCAATCCCAGCTACTCAGGAGGCTGAGGCAGGAGAATTGCCTGAACCCAGGAGGCGGAGGTTGCGGTGAGCCGAGATCGCGCCATTGCACTCCAGCCTGGGTAACGAGCGAAAACTCCGTCTCAAAAAAAAAAAAAAAAAAAATTGGGCTGGGCGCAGTGGATTATGCCTGTAATCCCAGCACTTTGGGAGGCCAAGGCAGGCAGAGCATGAGGTCAAGAGATAGAGACCATCCTGGCCAACATGATAAAACCCTGTCTCTACTAAAAATAACAAAAATTAGTTGGACATGGTGGTGCGTGCCTTTAGTCCCAGCTACCCTGGAGGCTGAGGTAGGAGAACTGCCTGAACCGGGACCTGGGAGGTGGAAGTTGGAGTGAGCTGAGATGAGATTGCACCACTGCACTCCAGCCTGGGCTACAGAGCAAGACACCATCTCAAAAAAATTTTTAATCTTTTGTTTTTTTTTTTTTTTTTTGAGACGGAGTTTCGCTCTTGTTACCCAGGCTGGAGTGCAATGGCGCGATCTCGGCTCACCGCAACCTCTGCCTCCTGGGTTCAGGCAATTCTCCTGCCTCAGCATTCTGAGTAGCTGGGATTACAGGCACGTGCCACCATGCCCAGCTAATTTTTTGTATTTTTAGTAGAGATAGGGTTTCACCATGTTGACCAGGATGGTCTCGATCTCTTGACCTTGTGATCCACCCGCCTCGGCCTCCCAAAGTGCTGGGATTACAGGCTTGAGCCACCAGTGCCCGGCCTCTTTTGGTATTTTAATTTATTTCTACTCTAATCTTTACTCTTTCTTTTCTTCTACCAATTTTGGGTTTGGTGTGCTTTTGTTTGCTAGATCTTTAAGATGCCTCGTTAGATCGTTTCAAGTTCTTTTTTGATCTAGGCACATAGTAAGTATAAACTGCCCTCTGAGTACTACTTTTGCTGTATGCCATAGGGTTTTTTGGTATGTTGTGTTTTCATTTTCATTTGTTTCAAGAAATTGTTCTGTTTTCTTTTTCTTTTCACCAGTTGTTCAATGACCTTTATTGAAATGTTTTCCTTTGTGCTTCTTAACTAGCTGGGCATTCCACAACACCACTGTTGATGTCATCTATGATGTCATGAGGGTGGCGGCCATCAACATTGCAGCCCACAGACAGGGGCAGTTTCCAGGATCTCTTTAATGGTTCCAGAGAGTTCTCTGGCTAAAGATCAGTGCTGCATCTGTTGAGCAATTCTGACAATCTCATAGAAAGTGATATTCCCGTTGTGTTTAATGTTTTTCTGTTTCTTTCTGTCTCTTGGTGGTTCCTTAAGGGCTTTGATGATCAGGGCAGAGGCAGAAGGCACCATCTCAATCTGGGCCTGTCTGTTCTGAATGGTCAGTTTCACTGTAATCCCCAGGCCCTTCCAGTCACCCGTTGCCTTGGCAATGTCATCACCAACCTTTTTTGGAGACAGACCCAGGTGGCCAATCGTGGGGGCCAGCACAGAAGTGGCACCAACTTCACTCCCAGTGCACCTCAGGTATACAACTTTGATCTCGTTGGGGTCGAACTTCGGTGGCAAGCTGGAGGTGGCTGGTGTTGGATGAACCCGGATTCGGGATGACCGAAGAAAGTTGCACCTTGGCCTCCTCCGAGCCCAAAGCGGAAAGCTGTTCTGTTTTCTTAATTTCTTCATTGACCCACTGGTCATTCAGGAGCAAATTGTTTACTTTATATATATTGTATAGTTTCCAAAATTCCTCATTATTTGTTTCTGGTTTTATTCCATTGTGGTCAGAGACGATGCTTGATATTATTTCAGTTTTTAGAAGTTTTAAGACTTGTTTTGTGACCCTACATATGGCTTATCCTTGAGAATGATCCACGTGCTGAGGAAAAGAATGTGTATTCTGCAGCTTTGGGATGAAATGTATAAATATCTATTAGATCCATTTCATCTATAGTGCAGATTAAGTCTGATGTTTCTTCATTGATTTTCTGGATGGAAGATCTAAATCTGAAAGCAGGGTGTTGAAGTATCCAGCTCTTATTTGTATCAGGGCCTGTCTCTCTAGCTCTAATAATACTTCCTTTTTATATCTGGGTGCTCCAGTGTTGGGTGCATATATATTTACAACTGTTATATCCTTTTGCTGACCTGACCCCTTTATTATTATATAGTGACCTTCTTTGTTTCTTCTTAGTTTTTGTCTTGAAACCTATTTTGTCTAAGTATAGCAAATACTGCTCTTTTTTGGTTTCCATTAGTATAGAATATCTTTTCCCATCCGTTTATTTTGAGTCTATGTGTGTCTTTATAGGTGAAGTGTATTTCTTGTAGGCAGGAGATCAGTGTTTTGTTTTGTTTTGTTTTTAATTTTTTTTTTTTTTTTTTTTTTTAATGAGAGGGAGTTTCGCTCTTGTTACCCAGGCTGGAGTGCAATGGCGCGATCTCGGCTCACCGCAACCTCCGCCTCCTGGGTTCAGGCAATTCTCCTGCCTCAGCCTCCTGAGTAGCTGGGATTACAGGCACGCGCTACCATGCCCAGCTAATTTTTTGTATTTTTGGTAGAGACGGGGTTTCACCATGTTGACCAGGATGGTCTCGATCTCTTGACCTCGTGATCCACCCGCCTCGGCCTCCCAAAGTGCTGGGATTACAGGCTTGAGCCACCGCGCCCGGCTGTTTTTAATTTTTTTAAAGACAGGATTTGACCATGTTGACCAGGCTGATCTTGAACTCCTGACCTCAGGTGATCCGCCCACCTCGGCCTCCCAAAGTGCTGAGATTACAGGTGTGAGCCACCATGCCAGCCGGGTTTTGTTTTTTCATCCATTCAGCCAGTCTGTGTCTTCTGATTGGAGAGTTTAGTCCATTTACATTCATCATTATTATTGATAAATAAGGACTTAACTCCTGCCATTTTGTTATTTGCTTTCTGGTTGTTTAGTGGTCTTCTCTTCTCTTCTCTTTTCTTCCTGTCTTCCTCTAGTGAAGGTGATTTTCTCTGGTGATAAGACTTAGTGTCTATTTTTTTTTTGTATCCATTTTTTTTTGGTTTAAGGTTACCTGGGAAGCTTGTAAATACTATCTTATAACCCATTATTTTGAACTGATAATTCCATTTGCATATATAAGCAAAAAGAAAATGGAAACTCTACAACCCACTTTTAAACTTTGTTTCTATTTATATCTTACTGTACTATGTCTTGAAAAATTACGTTTATTATTTTTGAGTGGTTCACTGTTGAGTCTTTCTACTTAGGATAAGAGTAGTTTATGGGCCAGGTACAGTGGCTCATGCCTGTAATCCTAGAACTTTAGGAGGCTGAGGAGGGTGGATCACGAGGTCAGGAGATCGAGACGATCCTGGCCAACATGGTGAAACCCTGTCTCTACTAAAAATACAAAAATTAGCTGGGCCTGGTGGCACCTGCTTGTATTCCCAGCTACTCAGGAGGCTGAGGCAGGAGAATCACTTGAACCAGGGAGTCAGAGGTTGTGGTGAGTCGAGATTGTACCACTGCACTCCAGCCTGGCGACAGAGCAAGACACTAAGAAAAAAAAAAGTAGTTTACATACCAGAGTTATAAATGTTATAATATTCTGTATTTTCCTCTTTACTGTTACTAGTGAATTATGAACCTTCAGGTAGTTATTTATTGCTCATTAATGTCCTTTTCTTTCTTATTGAAGTATTCCCTTTAGTATTTCTTGTAAGACTGTTCTGGTATTGATGAAATCCCTCAGCTTTTGTTTATCTGGGAAAGCCTTTAATTTTCCTTCATGCTTGAAGGACATTTTCACTGGATATACTATTCTAGGGTGAAAGTATTTTCCTCAGCACTTTAAGTATGTATGCCACTCTCTTCTGGCCCTAAAGATTTCCACTGAAAAGTCTGCAGTCAGAGGTACTGGAGCTCCGTTTTATGTTATTTGTTTCTTTTATCTTGCTGCTTTTTAGGATCCTTTCTTTATCCTTGAGCTTTGGGAGTTTGATTATTAAATGCCTTGAGGTAGTCTTCTTTGGGTTAAATCTGCTTGGTGTTCCATAACCTTCTTGTACTTGGATACTGATCTCTCTCTAGTTTTGGAAATTCTCTATCATCACTTTGAATAAATTTTCTACTACTTTTTTTTTCTACCTCCTCTTTAAGGCCAGTAACTCTTAGATTTGTCCTTTTGAGGCTATCTTCTAGATCCTGTAGGTGTGTTCGTTTCTTACTCTTTTTTCTTCAGTCTTCTGTGTATTTCCAAATAGCCTGTCTTCAGGCTCACTAATTCTTTTTTGTTTGATCAGTTCTGCTATTAAAGGAGTCTGGTGCATTCTTCAATAAGCCAGTGGCATTTTTCAGCTCCAGAATTTTTTTTTTTTTTTTTTTTTTTTTTGAGACAGAGTTTCGCTCTTTTTACCCAGACTGGAGTGCAATGGCACGATCTCGCCTCACCGCAACCTCCGCCTCCTGGGTTCAGGCAATTCTCCTGTCTCAGCCTCCCGAGTAGCTGGGATTACAGGCACGTGCCACCATGCCCAGCTAATTTTTTGTATTTTTAGTAGAGATGGGGTTTCACCATGTTGACCAGGATGGTCTCGATCTCTCGACCTCGTGATCCACCCGCCTCGGCCTCCCAAAGTGCTGGGATTACAGGCTTGAGCCACCGCGCCCGGCAGCTCCAGAATTTCTGCTTGATTTTTAATTATTTCAATCTCTGTTAAATTTACATGATAGAATTCTGAATTCCTTTTTCTGTGTTATCTTGAATTTCTTTGAGTTTCCTCAACACATCTATTTTGAATTCTGTCTGAAAAGTCACATATCTCTTTCTCCAGGATTGGTCCCTGTTGCCTTATTTAGTTCATTTGGTGCGGTTATGTTTTCCTGGATGGTGTTGATGCTCGTAGATATTCTTTGGTGCCTGGGCATTGAAGGATTGGGTATTTATTGTAGTCTTCACTGTCCTGGCTTATTTGTAGCTGTCCTTCTTAGGGAAGGCTTTCCAGATATCTAAGCTATGTCTGCTTTAGGGAGCACCCCAAACTCGGTAATGCTGTGGTTCTTGCACAGGCATAGAGGCACTGCCTTGATGGTCTTGGACAAAATCTGGGAGAATTCTCTGATTACCAGGTAGATACTCTTGATCTCTTTCCTTATGATCTCCCAAACATAGTTTTTTTCTCTCTCTGTTCTGAGTCACTCAAGGCTGAGGGTGGAATGACACCAGCACCCCTGTGGCCACCATCATGATTACTGCACTTGGTCAGACCTGAAGCCAGCACTGTGTCTTGCCAAAGGCCTGCTATAACCACTCCCTGGCTACTGCCTACTTCACTCACCACCCCTGGGGCTCTACAATCAGATGGCAAAGGCAGCCAGGCCTGTGTCCTTTCTTTGAGCGTGGCAAGGTCCCCCAAGCCCCAGGTGAGTCCAGAAATGCCGTCTGGTAGTCAGGGATTACAATAAAAAAAACCTTAGGGCCGGGCGCGGTGGCTCAAACCTGTAATCCCAGCACTTTGGGAGGCCGAGGTGGGTGGATCACGAGGTCAAGAGATCGAGACCATCCTGGTCAACATGGTGAAACCCCGTCTCTACTAAAAATACAAAAAAAATCAACTGGGCATGGTGGTGCGTGCCTGTAATCGCAGCTACTCGGGAGGCTGACGCAGGAGAATTGCCTGAACCCAGGAGGCGGAGGTTGCGGTGAGCCGAGATCGCGCCATTACACTCCAGCCTGGGTAACAAGAGCGAAACTCCGTCTCAAAAAAAAAAAAAAAAAAAAAACCTTAGAAGTTGCCGGGTGCGGTGGCTCAAACCTGTAATCCCAGCACTTTGGGAGCTGAGGCGGGTGGATCACGAGGTCAAGAGATCGAGACCATCCTGGTCAACATGGTGAAACCCCGTCTCTACTAAAAATACAAAAAATTAGCTGGGCATGGTGGTACGTGCCTGTAATCCCAGCTACTCAGGAGGCTGAGGCAGGAGAATTGCCTGAACCCAGGAGGCGGGGGTTGCGGTGAGCCGAGATCGCGCCATTGCACTCCAGCCTGGGTAACAAGAGCGAAACTCCGTCTCAAAAAAAAAAAACACAAAACCTTAGAAGTCTACCTTGTGTCCTATTGTATTGTGGCTTGGCTGAGCTGGCACTCAAATCATACAAGTCCTTCCCTGGAAAGACAGAGGAACCTCCCCCCATAGCCACCACCCTAAGCCACAGGGAGTTCTGTCAGAGTACTGCTGATGTTCCCTTAGGGCCAAAGGTCTCTTAAGTCAGCTTGTCATGAATGCTGCCTCTTCAGGAAAGTGGGCTCCCCTCTAGCCCAGGACAGGTCCAGAAATGCCATCAGAGTCAAATTCTAGAATCAGGGGCCCCAAGAGCTTGCTTGTTGCTCTGTCCTCCTGTGGCCATGCTGGTGCTTAAGGGGCAAGACAAAGTCCCCTTACTTTTCCCTCTGCATTTCTCAAGCAGAAGGGGTTTTACTCTGTAGCCATTACAGCTGGTTATGTGCCGAGTCTCACCTGAAGCCAGCAAGTTTCAGAGGCCCACCCAAGGCCCTTGATGTAGTACCTGGATATTGCTGTTGGTTATTCAGGGTCCAAGGGCTCTTCAGTTAACAGATGATGCAGGACTGGGTCCTTTCCTTCAAGGCAGCAGGTTCCCTTCTGGCCCAAGGTGTGTCTAGAAATGTCTGGGAGCTA